GACTGTATTGAGAGCTGCAGCAAGGTAGCAGAGCAAGTGACAAAAGACTCCAGAGCCCGAGAAGAAAACATGCTGTAGTAGACCAATATCCACAGCAGTTAATACCAAGTAGGGCAGTAAAGCTTAACCTTGAGAAGGTTCTTCTTTGAGACAAAGTGTAGTTAATAAAGCTCAGGCTGGCCTTGAACCCATGACCCTCCAGCCTCAGCTTCCCAAGGACTGGGATTACACGTGCAACCTGCTGCAGCTCTCTTGCTTTGCCTTCCCCTCACTCTTCAGCACACTAAAATCTTATTTCTATCCTTACTATGTCTTCATTTTTTCTCTTTTTAAAAGAAAATTATTTTAAAATAAAAATATTTATGTCTAAAGATGTATTAATTTATTTTTATTTAAGCTATGTGGCAGTGGTTTGTGCTTGCTCTCTCTCTCCTTCCCCCTCTCCATCTATAGGGTCTATATGGGCTTGGTTGTCCTGAAACTCACAAAGATTTGCCTGCCTCTGCCTCTTGAGTTCAGGAATTAAAGAAACCATGCAGCATACCCAGTCTTTTTTTTATTTAATTTTATTTAATAATAATACTATTTATTACTGTATAGCAAGAATTTTGTTTTTTTTTTTTTTTAAAAAACAGTTATGTTATGTGCCTATGTTTTTGTTTGTTTGTCTAATCCCAGAAGTGGGATAAGAGGCTGCTTCACAGCAGGTGATTATGATTTGCCTTGGCACTAGCAGGACAGTGATTTTTGCCAGCTTACAGATATTTTAATTTTGGTGGCTCTGGAGAGGGTATAAATGGGAGATCTCGAAGAGGGCTGTGCACGCTGCTGCTCCTGGTCGCTGTTGTTGCAGTTTGTCAGTGGTCACAAGCAAAGAGGTGAGAAGTTGGAGATACCCTGACAGTGAAGACTGAACTTGCCCCAAGAAACTCAATGCCCCAGTCAGCAGGAAGGAGTCTAAAGAGGTCTACATCCCCTTCCCCCTGTAACCTTCTTTCCTTCCTACCTAATGTTGAAGGATTGGAAGGGATTGGATAGGTTAAGTGTTGGAAGGGTGGTAGATATAAGAACCCAATAAAATAGCTAAATAATTATGCTAACATTATTGTTGTTGTTTTTCTTTTAAAAAGCAATATCTATATATCTGTTTTGCCTGCATAATGTCTGTACACCACTTGTGTGCCTAGTGTCCTCAGAGGCCAGAAGAGAGTGTAAGGTCCCTCATAATTCAAGTTACAGAGGATTGTGAGCCACCACATGGTTTTGGAACAGAACTCAGGAGCTGGATCCTCAGTAAGAGCAGCCTTTGCCCATAACTGCTGAGCCACGTCTTCAGCCAAGAGGAAAGCCCCAGAGCAGCCACGCTGTCAACCTCAGCAGAGGACCAGAGTTCAGTTCCCAGGGCAGCTTGCAACCACCTGTAACTCCAGCTCCTGGGATCTAGTGACCTTTTCTGACCTGAGGGCACTTGCACCCCACAGATAAAAAGTTTAAAAAATATTTTAAGAATAAATAAATAGATATTTTTAAAACAAAACCTCAAATGACAGAGCTTCCTGCCTCACCTGTTTCCTCTATACCCAGAGGCTCTGTCACCTACTTAGGTATCAACTGGACACAGCCTAGACTTATCTGAGGACGTCACATTTGGGAAGTTGCCTCATTCAGTTGGCCTGTGCACATCTGTGGGAGTAGCTCTGTTGGCTGAGTACTCAACATCCCGGCCCTTGTCTCCAGCACCACACAGACTAGGCGTGATGGAACACATCCGCAATCCTAGCACAGAAAAGTAGTGGCAAGCATTCACTACCAGAGACTGTCTCAAAAAATGGTAGGGCAGAAGGGCAGGAGCACTCACTGGCCACTCCTGCAGAGGATCCAAGTTCAAGTATTCCTAGCATCCAGATGGTAGTTCATAATACATGGTACCTTATCTGTGTATGTCCCTGAGTGTGTGTGTGTGTGTGTGTGTGTGTGTGTGTGTATACCTTTTCCTGCTGAGCCATCTCTTTGGTCCTGTCCTTATTTCCTAAACTGAGGAAACAGGCTTACACAGGACAAGGAGGGGCTCACACTGACACTCCTAGCTCTGGTCTTGTGGCTTCGATTATTTCTTCTCTGGGACAGCAAACACTGCCAACCTACCCTTCACTGGGTGCTCAGGGAGGGAGGGCAAAGGAAAACAGTGGAGTATCCCCCAAAGGAGGACGGATAGGGTGTGTTTCACAGAACATTTGCACTCTCTGGTGGGAGCACCTGGTCACAGAAGAAGCTTCATGGACTCCGAGTTCCTTTCCCTACGCCCATTGGCAGCCGTGGATTTGTTATTCTTGTGACAACTCCACTGTCCTCATGGAACCTGGTGACGCTGGCTGAACAAATACTACCTCCGCTATTGACTCAAAACGTGTACTCAAGGGGCTCAAAGTTCAAGTTCAGGGGGACCTGAGGCCTGGAGGAGGAGGGGAAAGCACCGCCTTCTGGGATTACAACATTCTTTATTATGGGGTAGAGTTCCCTCAAAACTAGGTCCCATAGCCAAGTTCCCAAAAGTCTTAAGCACTTTGGATGGATATCTATTGGGTGGTGCCAACAGGAAAGAAGGCTAGAGAGAACCAGTGGAGCAGCCATACTCTTGGCAAAACAGTGGGGGCTTTGAGAATTCCCTGTCATGGATATTAGGTGGGATGGTTAGGGTTGGGATGTGCTTGGAACCAAACTGTGGTCTACGGCAAGAATAGTATTGGTACTTAGTTACTGGGTCACTTCCTCCAGCTCTGTCTTTTTGTTTGTTTGTGTTGTTTTGTTTGGTGACAGACTCATGCTGTAACCCAGGCTGGTCTCCAACTCATATATGATCCTCTTGCCTCGGTCTCCCAAGTAATGAGGTTCCAGATGTAAGCCACTACACAGGGCAAACGTAGCCATCGTGGGCAGCTGGCACAGTCTATGGGATTAAGACCGAGAAAGAATGTGAAAAATAAACAGAAGAGCTTGAGAAAGGTTAGTCTAGCTTTGGTGCCAGTTCCAGGGATATTTTCTGCTCCCAGGGAGTTTAGGTTAATGCCCCAAGTTTCCCCATCCCCACCCCGAGGGGCGAATGGGGGGGGGGAGTTAAGCTCTTTATTAATAGCTGCCACGGCAGCTACAGTCCCTGGGAGCAGGGCCATGGTGAGGGCAGAGGAAGGAAAATGAGGTCTAAACAGCATAAAACCAAGCGCAGGAGGTTCTGGCTCTTTTTGGTACCTCCCCAAGGCACACGAGGGAGGCTCGAGGCGCCTGAGTGCTTCTTCTGATGAAATCTCCGCCCCTGCTCCTGTCCCACTTGGCCTGCAGGTGGCACCAAGGCGGGCGGCTGGGAGGGCCCGAGGTCAAGGCCACGGAGCCTCCGGGACAGACAGGGCACAGGGCCAATCCAGAGGGACGCAAAGCAGGACGCCAAGAAAAGAGGAAGTGTCCTTGGGGAGGGGACCGGTTAGGGCTGGAGTTCTAGGGAGAGGAGGAAGGGCATTTAAGGTGAGCGTAACAGTCCACGACGTAAAAGGAGTCTTAAGTGGCGAGAGGCAAGAGGTGACGGTAGAGCCATCAAAGCCGATGAGGCCGGGTGGACAGCAGAAAGTGTTTCCAGATAGCACCTCTGCAGTGCCAGCCACTTGTCACACTTGTCTCTCTGTTTCCACGCTCAGGAACAGGTGCTCAAACAAGGATGCTTAAGAAGGCCAAAGGCGTTTGGATGTGAGTTAGAACCATGCAGCCAAGTGAGAGATCCCGATTATCTGTGAGTCCCTTCACATAAACTAGGTAAAACAAAACAAAACAAAACAAAACAAAACAAAACAAAACAAAACCCGGCAAAGTTACACCTAACAATCGCCTGGCCTTTTAGACAGTAGAAGTATAGGGGGTGGTGAGAGACAGCAACAGTTAACTACGGTTGGGGGCGGGATCAAGGGGAACTTTCATTTTCTCTCCGAACCCTTCCGCGTTAATACAGGGAAAGATGGAGGCAAACAGAACTCTTCCATGACCAGGCGTGCTTGAGCTCAGAGTGGTGGCTCTTCCTTCTTCAGCGCATTTGTGGAGAGGTTGCTACACCCGGGGCCTGGAGCTGCAGCCTGGGAGGGCGCCCCATCTGGCGGGTAGAGTGCCTGGCCAGGTTTGGCCGGGCTTCTCTGCACTCTATTCACAACTCACCCTGCAACCTTCGTTGCCCGTGTGCTGCCAGTGATCCCTCTCTAGAGGCCACACTGTACCAAGTTCCAATCACTCCCCTACTGGCACCTATTCTCAGCCTCCAGAGTACTTCTGTTCCGTTGCTTTTTGGCGCTGAGACTTGAATCCAAAATCTTACGCAGGGCAGGAATGCATGGCATTATGAGCCACACCCCCACCCTAATTGCTCCGCAGAAGAGTTTTTTTTTTTTTATTGTTGTTGTTTGGTGGTTTTTGCTTTTTGTTCCCCCCCCCCCGGCGATTTTATCCCAGGGAGACTATGACTATGACTGTGTTGGCCTCTGGAGCCAACCTGCCCCAGGATGACAAACATCTGTTACTCAGGCTTGGGACTTCGGCTTACTTCTTCATTCTATGATGTTAGGCAAGCCGTTCGTTTTCCCGCTAAGCGTCCCCGCCCCTCCCTTAAAAATAATCAACCAAATAACCAAACCAAGTCTGGAGCAGAAACAGCATAACCCCGCAGGATTGCCGAGAAGTTTATGTGCCGGTGAGTGTAAACCGCGAGTGTAAACCAGGCATGGTGCAAAGAGCGTTTATGGGCATGGCTTTAACGAGTTGGCCCCTTTTGTGTATGAAGAAGCTGAGGCTCGCAAGGTTAGGAATGTTGTCCTAGGTCTGCTGTTGGCAAACTCAGGGTCCTAGCCTCAGCCTCAGTTTCCTTACTGAACTCCTCCCCGCAGCCCCGCCCCCTCCAGGCCCCGCCCCGGCCTTCCCCGCGCCGCAGCCCGTCTGAGCTCAGCCAATCACCCGCGGCGCGCGTCGGTGCGCCTGGCCTCGCCCGCCCCGGCCCGGACTCCGCTCGCTCATTCCGCCGCCGCCGTCCGCAGACTCGGTAAGGCACCGCGAGGGCAGCGCTGCGGTACCGCCCTGGGCTGGGCGCGCGGGTGTCACCCTTGGGAGCGCAGAGGGAGACCCAGACTGTGCCCGTGGGGTACGCGTGAGCCGCTCTTTGGAGAAGCAGAGGGCACCCCCTCCCCCGCGCAGTGACGGATCTGGGGATCCCGGGACGGGAGGAAAGATGCCTGGTCCCCAGACTGGGCAAGATGCCTCGACTCGGGACGCGTGGGACCTAGGCTCTTGCTGTCCCACCCCACGGTGTATTCTCTCACTGCGTGGGTTTGGGGTCCTCATTGCCCCGTGAAGGATGCTCAGGATTAGGCATGACTCCTTGGTCCCTGACCAGTAGGGGCGTCGACTCCCTTTCCGACCGCATCTCACTCCCCACTCCGCGGGTGGCTTGCAGCCAGTGTGGACGCCGAGCCCTTTCCCAGGCCATTTCCTCTCTCCACTCTGCAGGTGGATTGGTTCTCGGGGTCCGTGAGGGTCGGGCTCGGCAGTAGGAAGGATGCTCCGCCAGGGGACTTGGCAGGTGGCTGGTGCCTTCTCCCCGTGCGGGTTCCTGCAGTACAGCCTTCGGGACACACCCTTGGCGCAGAGACTTAAGTGTTGCGCACCCCTCACCCTCTGTTTGTCTGGAGTTCAAGGGCAGGTGGGTGTCCAGAGACTGACTGCCCAAGGTCGCGCCGGGACCAGAGCCCGGGAGGGTGGGGGCGTCACGTGACCTGGCCTGAGCGAACTTAGCCTGGGACAGCTCGACAGCGCGCGGTCTGCGCAGCCCCGCTGTGCTCTAACAGCCGGTACCCTTCGTTTTTCTTCATCTTCTTATTGTGAATCGGGTTTGGCTTTCGTTGATGTCACAGAACACAGATGAATGCTCACGTTTTTAAGGAGTTAAAAGGTTCCTAGTGTGAACCAGGCCAGATACAATTAAGCTCAGTATTCTCAACTCCTGGCCGAGTCTCGCTCTCGGCTCCTTTCTGTTCTGTGCATTCAAATAGTTGTCCAAGGACAGATTTTAGTCGGAAACTGCTAACTTAGGAAGTTAGCAAATAAAATGAAAGTGAGTTTAGAAGCCTTTTGGAACGCGTATTTAGTTACAGCATTTTGTCGCACAGGCGTCTGGTTTCTGGTCATTCCTGATATTCAAGCGTGTTTATCTCTGTCAAACCCACAAGCCAAATGACTAAAACACAGCTTTGGCCTTTCATTTGTGCCAGCGAGCATACATCACCACCACCCCCTTCCTAGTCGGTCGACTCAGGGCTCAGTGAGGACGTAAACAGAAGACTGTGGTACGCGGAGAACAGTGCTTGCCCCGGGACAGTGCAGAGCGGTAGGCAGTTCTGGGCAGTGTCCGCATTCAGAGTCTATGGCTGGACTACTTTTGCTGCAGCACCACGAGCTCTTTTGTCATGTAAATTATTGTTTTTTTTAACTATGATGCCTCGGCAGACTTAACCTTACACTTGAATTCTCTCTTTTATCTATTTATTTACTTTATAAAGTTTAGATAGGGTCTCATGTAACAAAGGCTGGCCTCCAGCCTGCTATATACTCAAGGTTGGCTTTGAACCCCTGGTCTTCCTGCAACCCCCCCCCCCAAGTGCGGTGATTATGGGAGTGCACCACCACGCCCGGCTTTGAACTCCTTAACCGTCTCTGGAATCAAGCCCGGATCTGGTTTTGTATCAAAAGTGACCGAAGCGGCTTCCTCCACAAGACAAAACCTTTCGAGTTTGAGCTAGAAAGCCACCTGACTGCAGATGAGGGATGGAACGCCTCCCTTCCGCCGCCGCTGCGCTTGGCCCTGACCCAGTGGTCACGGAACGGGCAGGCCTGATTCTCTCGGGAGTTTGGGGCGCTGGCCGGAGCTTACCCAACCCTGATTCCTCTTGCCCATTTTGCCCATTCATAAAAACGCTGTAATTTTTACTTTTTTTCCCTCCTTGGGTTTCGCAGAGAAACCCTTTGAGGCACGGTGCCGGCTGGTGGTTTTGTTGCATGCAACATCTGTCCTTGGACAAAGCGGGTCGGTGGCTCCGGGGCGGCGCACTGGGATGGCAGCGGCGACGCGTCGCTCCGGAAGGCCTGCGTGGGCTCGGCCGGTGGAACAGGATCCCAGCTCCCCGGACGCGCCAGCACGGGGGCGGGGCTCCCGTAACCTTTCCCCTACTTTTCTCAGCCGTCACGTGACCCCGGCCGGGTTTGGGGGGGGAAGGGGCGGGGCGGGAAGCCGCGGTTGCTAGTGCCCTTCCCTTCTCCAGCTCCTGGAACTTGCAGTCTTAATCTGCAGATGGCTAGAGCCGCGGAACTCTCCTGTACTTTGACCGTTTGAAGGTTTTTTTTTTTTGGTTAGAAAATATGTTTAGTCACTCTACATAGATATTTACGGATAGGCCGGAGTTTTACGACCAGTGGAAGTCTGCGTTTGAATTAGTTTAAAATAAAATGGTAGTCCAAGGTGAATAGTTTTAAAGTGTGTTTAGCAGATGTCCAGTCTCCTGAAGAAGGGAGAGTCGCTCGAATCTGGGAGTTAAGGGACAGCCTGGGAACAGGCAAAGATACATCCTCAGCTCAGGAAAGAAAAAAAGGGGGGGGGGTGTTAAGCTGGTGGCACGCCTAGTAGGCTTAAAAAAAGGATTACTGCACATTTGAATTAATGCCAATTTAAGCTATTATTGCAAGAATTTTTGTTGTCAAAATAAGTCTGCTGCCAAGCCTGACGACCTGAGTTCGATCCCTGAACCCAGTGAGTGAACATTATCCCGACTTCCGCACACGTGCTATAGCGTGTACTCAACCCCCAACGTTAATAATAAGATACGTGGTTTTGTTTTAAGTAAAAAGCAATACCAGAATATTGTGCAAAGTTAAAGAAGCGAAAATGAGGTGCCATGCGGTCACCTCCTTACTCGGTAGTTACTGCAGAGGCCACCACTGTGAGCAGTTCATTCAGGACTGTGATGCTGTATACCTGTACCATCTAGCCCTTGGGAAATGGGTAGAGGAAAGGGGGATTAAGACCAGCTACTACTATCAGTGAGCTAGAGTCCTGTGTGGGATACACTGCAACTTGTCTCTAAGCCAAACCTAGACTGCAAAGGTTTTTTTTAATGTCTTACCTAACACAAGGAGTAAGTTTTACTTGTTGATTTCAAATATTTGTTGCCTTTTGTACCCTTCACCTTGAATCCCATGCAAATAGTGAGGTGGACATTGGGTCCCTGCTGGCCCTGACTAAGGACACTTTGCCCTGTTTAGGTAACGTGGTAGCTTGGTTCTGAGAAGTGCCCACCCTTTGCCCTTTTTGTTCTGACCTTCAGAAAAGTTAGTAACAGTGGGCATGCTGCCCACTGAGGGCCCGACACCTGGGTAACTGCCACTTCCAAGGCTGGGAAACAGGGTGGTTGCTGGCACCTTGCCCCTAAGAGTGTCAACCTGTGTTGCACACAGACCCATTTAGGTAAAATGAAAGGAAGCTTAGTGTAGTACAAAACACCTATAATACTAGATTTTGGGGGATGGTGCTGAGGCAGGAGGATTCTGTGGCTCCATAGCAAGACCTTGTCTCAAAAATTAAAATTAAACAAAACAAACCAAAACCAACAAAGCCAGGCTTAGGCTTGGTTGTCCATGCAGGGCTCTTAGTGGTGGCCACCCACCCCCATATATGCAGACCTAGACTGATGGCAAGATGTGGGCATGTCTGCGTGTGAGGAGGTCAGAGGACAGTTTGTGGGACTTGGTTCTCTCCCTCTCCTGTGTGGGTCTCTTGAGGACTGAACTCATGTTGACTTGGCAGCAAGAGCCATCTCCTGCTGAACCATCTTGCTGGTGCCCTTTATTAGTTAGTTAGTTAGTTAGTTAGTTAGTTTGTTTTTTGAGACAAAGCCTTATTTATGCATGCTGAGCTTAAACTCACTATGTAGTTGAGGACAGTCTTGAACTTCTGATCCTCCTGCCTCTACCTCTTAAGTACTGGGATTACAGGTCTGTGCCACCAAGCCTGCTTTCATGGTGTTGGAGATGCAGGATCTTTAGGACTTCCTGCATGCTAGGCAAGCACTCTTGTCAACTAAGCCACATCCCCAGTCCTGGTTATTTCCTTTAGAAGTGTATCCTTTGGTGGTTTCCCCTAAATCTATTTTGCCAAAGTCACATTTCTCTGATTGCCAGTTCATAATGATGTGGTACAGTATACAGCCTAAAGTGGACTTTGCTTTACTTTGAACTCTTACTAAGTAGCTCTGGCTGGCTTGGAACTGGAGATATAGACCAGGCTGGCCCCAAATGTACAGATGTCCTTCTGCCTCTGCCTCCTGGGATTATAGCTGAGCACCACCACACCCAGCTTTTATTTAATTATTATTGTTGTTATTTTAAATGGAGACAGGGTCTCATGGTAGCCTAGGCTGGCTTTGTAGCCACAGCTGCCTTTGAATTTATGATCCTGTTGCCTTCAGCTCCCAAGTTCATGTCCAGCTTGAGTTTTTGCAGTGTGTGGTAGGTGGGAGCTCTGTTGTTATTTTGGGGGGATGTAGACTGAATTGAAAATAGATTGAAATTTTATTTTTACTGTCCAAATACTAACCAGGCCCAACCCTGCTTAGCTTCTTTTAAAACCAGACTGTTTAAAATGGTATGGCCATAGACCAGAATTTGTTTTTTAACCTGATCAGAACTATTGTGTCCAGCCAAACAACACAAATGGCTTATGGTGATGTGCCACACTGTGGGAAAGTTACCTATGGCTGAATTACATAATGCAAATGGAGACTGTTCAGGTATGAGTTCCAGGTACAGCCTTTCACAGTGAGTTCCTGTGAACCCTCCATATATACTAAGTTAACAACAACAACAACAAGCTGTTGAAATCTGGTAGCCAGCATGACAGTTTCCAAGGTGGAGTCATTCAAGCAGGTGGTCTAGTGTCTTGGTCTGGATTAGTTCATGGATTGGATTAGTTCTCATAGGCACAGTGCCTTGGGCCTG